GCAGGCCTGAGACCGTTGCCTGTCTTCTCCTTCACATTGTGAAACTCTGTAGAGATGCGTCCTCCCACAGGCAACCTCTCTACCTCACTCTGATAATCCCCAAAGGCTTGGCTCCTTCCGATCATGGAACAAAGGAAAAGGAGCCAGACCCACCATTTGTTGCGCATGAGACCCGGCGCCCTGCGTGGAGGGCAGGGCCCGGGGGCGCACCATCATTCCTGACGTTGCTTCTTCGCCAGCAGAGCTTCAAGATTGGCAAATCCCGAGCGAATCTCTCCTGAAAGGGTAGAGATATTCTGCTGGTTTTCCCTGACCTGTCCCGTGAGCACTGAGACATCTTGTCGAAGTGCTGCCGTGCTCTGCCCAGCTTCACCAAACCATGTCTCAAATTTCTGATTCTGTTCACGAAGTTCTGTGATCCCAGTCTCCAACTTCTGGAAGCGCTGCTCAGTGGCGTCCTTGAGGCTGGTTTCGACAACTTCATGCATTTGAGATTGCAATCGCTCCAACTTGGTGGACCTGGTCATCTGTGCATCTGGTTCGACTCCATCTTGGAACTTGTTGTAGCCTCCCCAAGGATCCAGCCCATTCCATGGCATGACATTCTCCTTGTCCTGACTGCCAGCTGCCTGCTTGCGCGCTGGTGCCTTCTTCAAGAACGTCTTTGTCTTGGCTGATGCCAGAATGATGGGTTCTGTGCGCTCAGCTTCCCGCTTCTTGTGCATGGTGACTAGCACATCCCCATTGTTTGTCTGAAAGACATTTGCCGGAGGAGCCGTCTCAGCCCCCACAAGCCATCCTTGTCCATGTTGATCCGCCTTGTACGGCTGTAGGACACGTGCTTTCCACCCCCACTGTTTCAGAAGTTCTCTCACTCCTGCAGTCTGGATGCCATAGGGAAGAGGTCGCAGCTCATACACCGAATGCACCTGGATTTGTTGAAAGGGCTTGTCCGGATAGATTTCTTTGTGGAATCCTTCTGCGTCACGACAAAGCACTCGAATGCCATATCGGCCACCAAATCGCACCAGAGCGACACCACGGTCGCTCACCTTCAACTTGTGCATGGCGTCCTGCTTGTCCGTGGAGTTGAGCCAAATCACTGCAAACTCCTCAGCGGGTCCCTTGCCGTCAGTACGGCGTGGCTCAATGTAGATCCCATCTTGGCCAGAGCGGCTCTGCAGACCGTCTGTGCATACGCATGGGATGCGCATGTGCACTTGGAATTGTTCAGCTTCGTCCGGGGTCGATCTTTTTCCTTTGACACCGTACCAACCTCGATTCCACAAATCCACGACGACCTGGTCCAGATCGCAGTCAACCGGGGCATGGAATCTTTCGCATCCTGGCCCACATCGGTCCCCTTTGCACAGCAGAAGCCTGGGCATTGCTTCCATGATGCGCTTCACCGGGGCCACTGTGAACTCACTCCACTTGTGCGGCCATTCATCTTGCCACACCACAAATTTGAACGTACGAGTGTCAATGGGCTGCAGAGAAGCCACTCTTTCTTCTTGCCGTCTGATGACAGAACAGTCACCGAGCTGGACAATGGAGCCCTCAATGAGCACGATCTCCTTTGTGGGCAAATAGATGGCTGGGAAGCGGAGATTACACACCGGCATCAACCCCTGGCTTGCAGGTGGTACTGGACACGTGGTAATGATTGCGAGGGAGTCCATGGTGATTGACTTGTCCTCTCGCAAAAAAGGGGCCACGTCTTCCAGGCTACCAAATGCCACCCCACATTTGTCCGCCGCCACGTTCTCTATGTCCAGCTGGCGTAACTCACGTCCATCCTCAGCGACAAAAGTACCCTCCACCAGGCCAAGTGCCTTGGGGTCCATGTTGGCCTTTTGGATCATCCGATGGGGCTGATCCTTCTTTTTCTCAGAGACGGAAGCCTTGTACTTGCTGTGAGCACGAAAACGAATCTGCTTCTCCAACTCATCGGGCTTGACCCACAAGAAATTGAATTTCGGGCTCGATCCCAACGCTTTGAGTGCCGCCCAGGAGTTGCGGCTTGGAAGGGCCGCACCAATGGCGGCTGCTCCCATCTTCTTGAGAGCCAGATGTGCCCGCTCTTCAGTCTTTTCCATCGGCACTCCATGATGATGCAGAATGTCTCTCAACTCAATCACCAGCTGCTCTTCATCCTCATGACGACCTCGTCCAAAGAAGTGCCCGCAGTTGCTGGCAAGCAGACCTGCATGCCATTCTGTCTCCTCCGGCACATCATTCTGATCCCAGTATCCAATGGCATGGCCCAGGTGCAATAGAGCCACCGTGCCACACGTGTGTGGCTCCATCTGGGAGAACTCCGCATTGAAGGAGACCACCAATGTGCGCACCACCAAGATTTGTCTGGCCATCTCTGCGAAGAGCCAGATCTGGTGTCGATGTTGATGATCAAGGCCATCCCAACATGTCACAGTGAGCGTATTGCCCGTCACCTTCATCTCAAGAAGGATCCAATGCCCTTCAAGTACTGCGCATCCTCGTAGAGGTCCGTGAAGTGCTGCAACCAGCCAATGATTCAGCATCACATCCTGGGTGTGTTGCACCAAGAGAGAAAGCTGCAACGCAGGAATCCACGTGCTAGCTCCTGTTTGCTGCATCTCAGCCAGCATTCTCCGAGCCCATTTGTCAATGCATTCATTGCCCAGCCCTTGTTCACCTGGAACTGCTGGTCCAAAAGCACAAAGATCAAAATGATGGTGGAATTGGACGAAGAGCACATTGTTGAAGATTCTGTCATCAAGTCTCCATTCATGGCCTTGGTCATCATAAATCCTCCTGTAGTACACATGATCAACTCCCGGAAGAGATTGCAAGATCTCAAAGACAAAGGTTCCGGCCTTGGCGATGTACTTGCGCTGAATCGAGTCACCATCAGCTCGCACAGTCGCCACCTCCACAGTGATCATCTTGTCATCCATCACCTTCTTCTGTCTCTTGTCTCGATGCTCCAACAGAAGCTCGCCAGTGACTGCACCATGTGTGATATCATAGCCATCAGGTAGGCGACCATACAAATCCACAAGTGCCCGAAAGGTTCCTCCTCCCTGCAATCGTCGCTCGGCCTCCAGGATTTCAATCACCTTGGTCGTGGCACTCAGATTCATATTGATCGTTGATCCGTCATGAGCATCTTGAACTTGAAGACCACCTTGAACTCTTTTGGGAACCATGCCATGAGCTTGTCGTAGCAGCCACATCTTGTGCAACCTAAGCATTGCTGCAGGAGTTTCCTGTGCTCCATTGACTGCTGCAAGCAAATGAGCCCCCATCCATGTAGCTTGTAATGGAGAGGCACACTGACCCACCAAGCAAAGTCCAGCCCGAAGATCATCCGGGAACTTCATGGAGGGATTGAGCCCACATAGAAGTGCAGCTTCTCGAGGATGAATCCATCTTTGTCTGCCGGTCACCATGCTGACAATGTAAAAGCCTCGAACTCCATCTCGTAGAAGACGATGCATACTGAAAGCTTGGCGGCAGCCACATGGGCACTCACGAAGTGCTGTGCTGTAGGCTGTAGCTGTGAAGAAAGCACGGTGCCACATCATCCCGAGCCAATTGCCGATGGTCACTGCCAAAACGAGGATCTTGCATGACCTCCAGCTCTTTGTCCGTCAATTCAAGGCACTCCTCTTCATCCAGGGACCATTGTGGCCACTTTGGAAACAAATGCCCAAGTTTGCGCAGCAACTCATCCTCTGGTAAGTCCGGAATGCCATAGATCTGATATTCCATAGGTTTCATCAGCATCCACCAACGGGTCCGACGACATGGCCAGGCCTTGTCCAGGTTGAGAATGGTCTGCACAAAGGTCATCCCCAGGCTCCATGCAAGGCGCTGTATCCCTTCCTGGATGTAGGTTGCCTGAGCAGCTCCTCGAACGTTCTCTAAGAGAAGGGCTGAACATTGTTGCTCCCAGGCCGCCTTCAACACTGCATGAAAAGGACGTGCTCGGCTGTCTGCCTGCCCCTTCTGATCCCCTTGTTGCGATAAGGGTTGACATGGGAACCCTGAGGCCACCAAGCATCGTACTGGACTGGGAGTGATATGCAGCATGGCCCTATCAGCATCTAACATCACATCCCCTTGAATGACCCCTGGTTGTCCATTCATACGGAGGGTTTCACACATCAGTGCATTACAATCCATGGCCGCCAACCTTTGAAACCCTAAGGCCTCAAGTCCTTGAGCAATGCCGCCAATGCCGGCACAGATCTCCTTCACACCCCACATGTAGGAGGCATCCTTGTCCGGAATGATGACCCCCTTCGATGAAGGCTGCCACTGGAGCGTCCATGTAGAGGAAGTAGCGGCATAGGTCTTCCGCACGTCATAGATTGTGATCACTTGGCCCTCCTCAAAAGCAGGTCCTTCAAGCCTTGCCATCTGTCCATGGGCTAGGCATTCGACCATGTTGGCATCACGGATGCCCACGACACCAGACCAGGTAGAGTCGGCTCCGCCCAGTCGCAAATCCATTGCTGTGGCACACCAAAGGAAAAACCGACCCTCAACTTTCAGCAGGTCAGCTTGACCCCTGGAAGGCGTTGAGCCACAAGCTAACTTTGATGCAATCAAATCTCCAATTTAGTCACATAGAATCGGTTGTACCATATGACCACCACGTGACTCTGGTTGCTGTATTATCTAAATGCCCTCATCGATTTCTATTCTGAAACCCTCTTTGTTGATGGTAGCTATATCCAACTGTCAGCTCGTTGCTGGTTTTAGCCCATCCCTAGAGGAGCGAACTCTTGATCATCATGTAAATCCATCTGGGGAACAAACGCAGGGAACATCATAGAACTATTGCAAACACATGTACAAAAATACAATGGCAGCACACAAGAACCACGGTTTGGTTTCATCCCCATGTTCGCCACCATCTGCATCTGTTTGATATTTCCGCGCTTCTCTGCTTTGGCCCTTTGACTCATGGTGTTTCGTTTTATTCAGATTCAGCCCTTAAGTCCAGGCACAACCCAAGGCTTCACAGATGTCTTGCGGTAGTTGACATCAATGCCCAAGCGCCCTGAAGAAAAGGTGATTCCACCGGCCATAAGTTGAGAATTCAACTATACTCAATATCCTTTGGTGGGATTTGAATCAATTTGTCATTTTCCCAAAAGCTGCCTGGTTAGACTGTCACCCTGGGGCCAGGAGAATCACCAGAAACCATTCGAGTCTCAGGTCAGTGGGTCCCTTCATTGATTGAGGGTGACTCAAAATAACCAACACCTCCAAGATACCTCTGCAATTCTGGAAGTCAAAAGACTGACTTTACTTGCATAACAGTGAACAGAACACATTAAGGTAAAACGGAAGCATGTCTCTGCCTGAGGATGTTAAACACTAATAAGATGATGACAGTTACAATGATGAGAATGAGAATAATGATGATGATGATGATGATGATGATTATGATGATGATGATGAGGATGACGATGATATGATGGTGATGGTGATGGTGATGGTGATGATGCTGCTGCTGCTGATGATGATGATGATGATGATGACGATGACGATCACGATGACGATGACGATGATGATGCACACAATGATATCATATATGTTTTAGATTTTAAAGGGCCTTTTGGGAAGTTCCATGTTCAAGCCAACTTGGAGAGATGGAGAGTGTTTTTCATCGTCCTTACCACATATTTGATCATTTGCTTGCTGCTGTGAACATAGCTATGGAAAATCACCATGTTTAGTAGGTAAATCATCCACATCAAAGGGCCATCTTCCATAGCTGTCTTACATTACCAGAAGCCACGTTGCCCCGTTGCCCGTGCTTATCCCAACACTGCATGGCGACGTTCGGCTCCCACCTGCCTGGCTTTTCCAGTATCACCTTCCGTTCCTCCGGACGCCGGAACTTGATCACAATCTCCTGTGGCAAGGGGCGTCTGAAGGGGAAAACCATGGTACTGTAAGCAGTCGGTAAGCCCAATAATAAACTATCCCATTAACCAACCATTTCGGGTTACAGTATTTTAAATATAAAGGTAGACGTCAGACCCAATAATTATATACCTCTATTGGGGATAGTTTATCATTGGGTTTCCCCACTATGGATGATGATGGAAGGAAAGGCTAGCGGTCACAACAAGACAAGTTTTTTCTGTCAATCCAACTCTATCTCGCAAGGGTTAACCAACAAAATTGGGTATATAGTAGATCATTCAATGATTCAATAGTGAACTACTGGGCTGATCCGAGTATCACGGGGGCTGCCAACTTCACAACGATACCGGGGTTACGAATAAGCCCCAAAGGGGTCGTTGTGACCAGCAATACTATGGCCAATACCTGCCAATAACCCTTTTCTAGTGTCATGCTGCTCAAACATCCACACATGTACTGTTCATTTTCATGTGCTCATCATTTGCAGTTTGCATCTTCATGGCTCAAAAGTGGATGCCCCAATCATGGGATGGTTAAGACCAAAAATAGACTAAGCCATTAAGATCATTAAGATCATTAAGCCATCCTGGTGTTTTTTCCGTGTTTTTCCATGTCTTTTTTCTTTGACAGCCATTTCTATTGAGTCTCCCCCATTTTTTCGCCATCCGGTGTCTCCAACGGCCTGGGATTCATTCTCCAACTTCCGCGCGATGTCGTCGCCGTTCACCGTATCGCCGTTCACCTCGAGAACCTGATCCTGAAAAATGATGAGAGATCCGTAGATCATGGGTATGGGGGGAAGGTGCGGGATTTATATACAGTTATTTGAATATTATATAGATGCATACACACACACATACGCCATTATTCAAATCATTATCATTATCTTTAGCATTACATACAGAATTATGATTACCTACGGAAAATACATTTAAATATACGGACTTTTAAATATACGAACTGGTATTTCATACTACCTCCGTGGCCTCGCGGTCTGGCCCGCCCCCCACATATTTAAATGTCGTTACGGTAGTTGATTCAAACTGGGAAAGATGTGTCATGTGATTAACTGGTGCTCCTGCCAGTGAATTTGGGTTATCCTGCCAGTGATGGATGATCATACCTGGGGGAAGTTGAGGGGTCTACCTTTGTTTCAACTGAAAAAGAATATACTGAGAATAGCGATCCAAAAGATAATTAAAATTATAAATGATTCAGCTAATGAAAAAACCTGAAAAATCCATATGATGGGACCCCCTAACCCCCGAGTACATACACACAGCATCACACAGCACAAAGTTTAGGAAAATCATGCAAACACGAAGAGTTGCATTTCCAGGGCACATTAATGCGCATTACCATGGCCAAGAGAAGAGGGATTTGACTTCAGCAAAAAAAATACCTCCGAAATCAGGATTGAACGAGCAACATTGGGTTTATGAAGATCAACAGGACAAGCCCTTATGAACATATCTTATTTATGAAGGGTAAACTAAGTCATTGGGACCCATTCGTTGCTTTATGTTGACAAAAAACTGGCTGGTGGTTGAGGCACCGGCCAAGTATGAAAGGCAATTGGAACCCCAATGGGGATTATCAAACATGTCTTGCGAAGGAAACACATGGTTGAAATCACCTTTTGTGCAGGGTGGAACCCTAGGCTTGGGATGTATTTTGTCTTAGGGTCATGTGGATGGTGGGTGGCTATGTTGGGCCTGGGTGGATCTCCTGCCCATGGCTTCCGAGGATCGAAGGTGCGAATCTGTTTGTGCGGCATTTGCGTGTTCCACGATCCTGCTGCCCCTCCAGTGACATCCTCGGGCATGTCTCGGGGACTTCCTGGGGGCCTGGGGACATGGTGTGGCTTCATCAAGTTGAAGAGATAGAATTGCTAAGTTGCATATTTCATATCTGTGACACTGTGTCGCATATACTTGCAATATTTATTACCGGGTCTTCTCAGAGGGTTTGCCCCAACAGCGCATGATAGGCACACAAATATGCACACAATACTATGTATATGTTAACTCATATACATATATATATACACATCAATATGTGTAAGGCTTCTGGGCCATTTCCAATCAATTCCAACATTTCCACCCTTCTCAGCGGTGGATTGGGGCAAGCAGTTGGGATTCACATGCGGGATGTGGCAAATCCCACAAGGTTCCAGCAGAGACTGAAACCGTCTGACAACATCATGACATCCAGAAGTTCTGCCACCCTCCAATCCTGAGATTTGAATGTAAACAAGGGCCTATTACATCTATCTATGGGTTTGTTTCTGTCATGTGGTTGGGTAACTCCTAGTAGCTCCTTGTCTCCCTATTGTTTTAGTTTTTTTGATAAACCAATGATCCATCAAATATCATCAAAGAAGACCCTTAAACATGACCCAAACATCCCCCGAAAATCCCCATCCCTTCATGGTCATCGTATGTCATCGCCAGGGGACGCGGACGACAACACAGTTGGTGTCAGAGCGATCAACGGAGATGCCCAGGAGCCGCTCGCCGCCGCGGCTCAGGGAAGCTGTGAAGATGGGCCCCTGAAAGCTGAATCTCGAGCTCCCCAGTCACAAGGATCTTATCGTTTTTCTGTGTCTAAAGTGTTCAAAAAACATCTTGGGATTTCTTTAGGAACTTCTTTGTAAGTATATGTATATACTATATATATATACACATGTATGTATTTATTTGTTTGTCTATACATATATATATATAACTCCACTTGTTCACATTCGTGGGGCTTCCACATGCCGCGATCTGATCTGCTTCAAATCAGTCCACCTCGTCCTCATTGGCGAATGTCTTCCTCGCAAGTCTTGAGGTATCCGGCAATGAAACATGGCAATAAGAAATCCCCTATAAATCGAGCTTTAAATGGGAACATATGGGAACATCGCCTATACATGGGGGGTTCTCTAGTGCCATGTCTTATTTTCAGAATGTATTTATATGTATAGTATATATGTATAGATACATTCGATTGGTTCAGGGTAATATCTACTGGAAACTGGAAACCATGTTTTTCCTTATCAAATAGGGGGTGGTCCTGAACATTTTCCCTTCAACCAATTCTGGAGAGGATTCATGGCAAGATCATTGAAACTCCAGTCTAGTTTGCTACTATAAAAGTCTATAAACATCACCTTTCATTTGCAAGGTGCCAAATGGAAGGGTGCCTATTCAATCAACTGGTCTTGACTTGTAAATGAAGTGAAAGGGAGAAACATCTGCCACTTGCAAGTGAATGTTCTTCCAGTTCGGGTTGGGGACTCTTCGACCACAAAAAAAGAGAAATCAAACCATTCAAGCCATCTCAAAACATTGAAACACACAAAGGGACGTGAATCCCAGGTCAGCTGCTGCTAATTATACAATATTTCAACAACATACTGATGATACTATGTACAAATATGCACATATATATATATATTATCCCGTATGTGAAGATCTGTATATCCATCTGTGTATATATATATATCCATTTATATAAATAAATAAACAGTAAAAAAAATAACATAAACACATACATATACATATTTATATATATAATATTATATAATATTATGTTTTTTCGATTGATCTCACCCATTCACACCAGCTCAGGCCGCAGCTGGACTTCCACGATGGGAGGGCGGCTGGCGCCCACATCCAGCTGCTTGTCCTAGCGCATCTATGGGTGTTTAATATCAGGAGGATGGGGTTAATGATGTTAATGTTCTTATTTTCAGGTACATCTATATTTTTTGGATGTTTTTGGTATGGCATAACGGCATAACCATGAATAACCACGGGCAACTCTAATTGAAGATCCAGTGGGAAATCTGTTTGAACTTATGTTGAAGTTCCAATGGCCTGACAATGATGGACGTCCCGTTCATCCGTGGGCTACTACGCCACAAATTAATTTACAGCCAGGGGTTCAAATGAGGCCTAGAAACAATGAAAAAAACAGCAGTGATGGAAATTAAAGGGAGCGAGCAGCGAACTTGGGTGAATAATTTCCAGCACGTGGACGTAGTTAGCCAGTTTGAAGCTCCGTAGCCGCATTTTCTATATCTATATACATATGTACATATATATATATATATTATCTGTGTGTGTGTACATCTCCCTCTCTCTATCACTATCAGGGCTCTGTGCCCGAGCTGTGCCAGAGGGCAAGATTCATGGAAGAATGCAATGCACATCTACCAATATGCAGGGTCAAAATATGCTTTGAGATGTACTGTGGAAGTGGGATGAGTGGCCTACGTAGCAAGAATTTTGCTGGGAATGTGGCATGAAATTTGGGGATCTTAAGGCTTAACGCAGCACCCGCTCCTCAGTCTCTGTTGCGCAGCAGCAGAACATGACCGCAATCGAGTCGCTTCAGAAAGCAACGTATCGAAGTGGTCAGGGTTTGCTGAGCCAAGTGGCCGGTCCCAGGAAGCTAGACCTTATTATTGAAATGGATAGCCGGATTGCCTACAAAGATTGCAATTCTTAGCGGGATGTGAACTATGAACGATTCACGGACAAATAGTGACCCATGCACATGATTGCACATGAACCAACCAGTGATTGACTTAAGAAAAGCAAGAGAAAACAACGAACCAGAATGCAGTTACGTAAAAAACTTTTGGGAAACAAGCTATTTCAACAGTCTTGTAATTTTTCCCGTGTTGCCGTACTATACCAGTGTAGAAATGTGGAGAGTGGAATGGGGTGGAGTGCAGAGAGTGGAGTGTGAAGACAGTGAAAACAGTGGAGTGTTGAGTGGGGAATGCCGGCCTTTGACACTTACCGTAAAATGAACACACTGTCTGGGGAAGAGCCAACATGTGACGTTGAACTATCATGAACTATCTATGAAACATTGTAGAACCGTCCCAACATATCCCAACATGGGGACACACCGCTAGAGGCGCACAATTTCTCGATGGAGATTCGGTCTCGGCTTTCATCCGAGCAGCTGACGGAGTCGTCACGGGGATGGATGTCTTCCAGTGGCAATTCAGGAAGGGTGCTGGAATATGCTGCAGTGCAGTCAGAAAATGATGGAAACTTTGAGCAACTTTGGACCCAAAAATCATCAGCAGTCTGCAGTCATTGCTTGCATCAGGCATCAGGAAAATCATTAGCTATGTTGATGCTTTTTGTTGCTGCTCGCTTGCCAGAGCATATGGTGCAGCCTCTAAAAATTCCCCAATCATAGTAAAATCCATGTAAATCCATAGATGATGCTCCGCCATTTGTCCCTTCAAAATGGTGGGATTCATTGGGATTCCCATGGTTATGCTTTAAGTATCTTTAAGTATCTTTAGTTCCTCAAGAGGCAACGCATGCCATCCCTGTTCTCGGCTGTTCGACGGTCCAAGCCGCCTGGGGATCAAGCACAAGCCCGCCGCAAGGTGACACCTCGTCGCAAGGTTTGAAGATCTTTGAATCGCCTTAGGACCTTAGGATAGTAATGGATCTGGTTGGTGGTTTCAACCCCTCTGAATAATATTATATAGTCAGTTGGGATGATTATTCCCAACATATGGGGAAAAAACAAACATATTCCAAACCACCAACCAGTGGATAGTCTGTTTTCAGCACCTAGTGACCGTTTGTACATGGCTGGTACATGGTAGATTTGGGTTGCTGGTGGTGAGCCCTCAGTGACCGAAATGTGATGTTGGTTTAGTCACAGCTATCCAGTTGCAGATTGATCACCGTTTAACTCCCATCGGTTGGTTTAACCAACTTAGCTATCTAGGATGCAGTCTATGAAGTTGCTATAAGTTAGTAAGAATATGAAAGAATGTCAGCAACTGGGCCATATCCATCCATATCCCAATCCCAAATTCCACACACTGCACAAAAGCAGTTTAATCCAGCTGCATCCAGCTACATGTGCTTCATCCGAAACTAGCATCTTTGTGTTTTTGCCAGGAAAGGGCTGATCCTCTCAAAACATCAAATGTTACACTTACACTGTCACTTTAAGCATAGCTCTTTGTGTTTTTCCCCCTTTTTTTCAGGATTGCTTAGCACAGCTAACTGCTGAGGATATATGGGATCCTGGAGATCCAGCATGTATCAACATGTCATGAGTGAACTGGACGATGCGAGCGAACACTTTCGTCACCAGTGGATGGCCATGGAGTTTTGCGTCATGGAGTTTGGACGCAAATGGCACACAAAAACATATCAAATCAGAGAACTTTGGACAATCTTGGATGGTCTTCGGAGATCCCTTTCCCCAAGATTGGTGAAGATTCATGAAACTGATCTGGTGATTATCATCCGCTGTTTTCTTTGATCGAAACTTGCGCCCCTAGCGCAGCTGCCTCCAATATCTCAATTGGAGAGCCACTATGAATGGAGGTTTTATCGGGAAGATCGACATTTCATTACCATGTTTGAGTACCGGAGGGTACCAGAACTCAATGAAACCATCCAGTAAACTTGGCACAAACTTAGCATCGCAATGCAACACACCTTCTATTGGAAATTGATGAATAATATCATGGTTGGAGGGCTCAATCGCTCATCCCCTCAAAACCATCTTACATCATCTTACTATGAGTCAAAATGGATTGCCATACTTCTAGGCCCCTGTCATGGCTTTAACATGTTCCACTTCATCTATGAAAAACTGCCCATCGTCCTCTCGAGTGACCGGCCGATGTGAAGCGTGTTTCACGCGCAGGATAGCGGCCAAAGAAGACCAATGACTCACCCTACAGTAGTAGGAATGATTAGGCATGATGAACCAGTAAGGGTCGCTTAGATAGCTAAGTCAGCTTAAAACTTACAACTGATACACTCTACCGGGATTGATGCAATATTTCTACAGTTGGATGCGTGCAACTAGACAAACAATAAACATAAGTGGGGGCTCTACCTGCACTATTTTGGGTTTTTGCGAGGATTGACACCACCAGAAAAAAAGGATCCCATGTTCAATCCACAAACATAGAATCATTTTCAGTGACTTATTATTCATTTTCAGTATTCACTTTTCCCTAGGGATACTGTGGACACTCCGAACATTCATCCAGATATGACTGGAAACATCCAGTCGCACTATCCCTGGTGCTGGCATCTGACGTCCTAAACTGGGTCTTGAATGTTGGAACACTTCCGAACCAGCTACATCGCCCGAATCTAGGAAAGGTCAGCTACGGTCAAACAACAACAAAGATCACAAATAACAAGAGGATACAACAAATGCCAGTTCTGTAACGTTGAGTCGGTTTGGGGCTCGTGCTAAATAAGAGAATCAGGTTAGAGATCTGTTGGGTTCCATGAGAAGCTTTAACCACCTCGGAGTCATCAAATCTACTGACATCCTCTTTTCGGCACGGGATCCGCACGGGATGAGGCGTGCGTTTGAACCACCTGTGAAGTCCTGGTCTCAAAAGCTCTGTCTAAAGTGGAATGAACATTAATGAACATTAATGAACATTAATGAACCATTAAACCATTTATACAACAAATCTGAAAGAAACATGAGGCAAAACCAAAAAAATTGGTTGCTGATTGATCCACCAGTCCAAAGTCCCAACAATGTTGGGCATTGTGGATCTAAAACCCCAATTAAATATTGGAAAACATGAAACGTGAAACCACCAAAGTAATTTGGAATGTGTCCTTCCCCTCAAACCCATCATATTTTTTGGCTGTTATAATATAAATATGCACACACACATATATTGTACATATAATAATTGCATAACTATTTATACTGCAGTACTTGAGAAGGGGTGACACGAAAGGTAGTTGTGTCACAGGGGGCGCGGGGGATCACTCAGTGCGAAAGCCGACATGCGACCGGGCCCTTTTCTGCTGACACCAAGCCTTAGGCTTGTCAATATGGACGTCATGCGCTAGCAAATCACCGCTTTGACAGAACGAAGGGAAAATTTCTGTCCAACCGAAGCATGGAGAAGCGCCGACGTTCCTTGGCTTCACCCGTTTGCTTGCAAAAGTTAAAGTGACGTGGCAAATGGATGTCGAAAAATCCGAATCGCAAGTCGAATGATGATGATGATGATGATGATGATGAGGATGATGACGATGATGCTGATGATGAGACACTGCGAAGGGGCTGCTGCGTGAAGAGACGCACAAGGCATGTGACGAGAGTTCACTTGGGGGGGGCATGGAACTGGACATTCAGAGCAGAGCGGAGATATCTGGATCCGAAAAGAGAGCACCCCACGATGTCCATGGTTGCTCATCACTTAGTCCATGTAAATAGCCATTTGGAGGTATACATTGTCAGACACACGCATCGTGCGGGGAAAAAAAACGATCAGTGTTAGCACAAACTCCAATGTCTCTTTTTGCGGTACCTATGGATGCTCGAACCTGTCACTTTCATCGCACCGTTGGGTACGTGGAAAATGGATGTCGAAAAATCCGAATCGCAAGTCGAATGATGATGATGATGATGATGATGAGGAGGAGGAGGAGGATGATGACGATGATGCTGATGATGAGACACTGCGAAGGGGCTGCTGCGTGAAGAGACGCGCAAGTCACGAGAGTTCACTTGGGGGGGGGCATGGAACTGGACATTCAGAGCAGAGCGGAGATATCTGGATCCGAAAAGAGAGCACCCCACGATGTCCATGGTTGCTCATCACTTAGTCCATGTAAATAGCCAATTGGAGGTATACATTGTCAGACACACGCATCGTGCGGGGAAAAAAACGATCAGTGTTAGCACAAACTCCAATGTCTCTTTTTGCGGTACCTATGGATGCTCGAACCTGTCACTTTCTTCGCACCGTTGGGTGCTTGGAAAATGGATGTCGAAAAATCCGAATTTCAAGTCGAATGATGATGGAGTGATGAGGAGGATGATGATGATGATGTTGATGATGATGATGGTGATGATGACGAGACACTGCGAAGGGGCTGCTGCGTGAAGAGACTCACCAGGCATATGTCGAGAGTTCCCTTCGGGGGGGGGGGAGGGGGGGGTCCCTTTCTCCATGTTCGTTCAGGGATAAGGGGTCCAGCCCGCCCCTTTGCTTCGCAAAGTAAAACTCAAGGTAGCCCGCTAGGAGGCTACCTTTCGTGACTAGTTTGGATTATGTTTTTATTTCACGTGATAACATCCTATTGGACGACATATATATCGCTTAGGTCTCGATTTTGAGGCCACCAGGAGCTCAACCAAGGAGGTCACATCGCCTGTGCAGAGGGAGATTGTGGACTAAGCTTGGTGGGGAAAAAAAGGCCGACCTTGGATACTCCCCAGGAAGGAATTTTGGGCCGATTCATCAAAATGCATGGAACATGAAATAGTTTACATTTACCATGAAATATTCTATAATCAGTTGTACCATTTACATGATATCAGTTGTACATAATCATTCATCATCATATCAGTAAAGACTTGTACCATTTTCATTTACCAGTCTTTA